TTTGGTGTTTGCCAAAAGGCATGTGGGAGACTCCCCAAACATATGGAAGAAGGTAATCTGGTCAGATGAGACTAAAATTGAGCTTTTTGGCCATCAAGGAAAACGCTGTGTCTGGCGCAAACCCAACACCTCTCATCACCCCGAGAACCCCATCCCCACAGTGAAGCATGGTGGTGGCAGCATCATGCTGTGGGGATGTTTTTCATCGGCAGGGAATGGGAAACTGGTCAGAAGTGAAGGAATGATGGATGGCGCTAAATACAAGGAAATTCTTGAGGGAAACCTGTTTCAGTCTTCCAGAGATTTGAGACTGGGACGGAGGTTCACCTTCCAGCAGGACAATGACTCTAAGCATACTGCTAAAGGAACACTTGAGTGGTTTAAGGGGAAACATTTAAATGTCTTGGAATGGCCTAATCAAAGCCCAGACCTCAATCCAATTAAGAATCTGTGCGATGTCTTAAAGATTGCTGTACACCAGCGGAACCCATCCAACTTGAAGGAGCTGGAGCTGTTTTGCCTTGAAGAATGGGCAAAAATCCCAGTGGCTAGATGTGCCAAGCTTATAGAAACATACCCCAAGAGACTTACAGCTGTAATTGCTGCAAAAGGTGGCTCTACAAAGTATTGACTTTGGGGGGGTGAATAGTTATGCACGCTCAAGTTTTCTGTTTTTTTGTCTTATTTATTGTTTGTTTCACCCCAAAAAATATTTTGCATCTTGAAAGTGGTAGACATGTTGTGTAAATCAAGGGGGGAAAGCATCTGTTTCTCTCAGGAGGAAACCACACAGGCTGTGCTGTTATATCTGCTCATAGGTCCTTAAGGTGTTCAAAAGAAATGACAATTTAACTGCATATATTAACATGAGCATAATATATGACTGTAAAACATAATTAAACATAAATAGAAACCTATAATTCCTGTATCCCACACTGCATCAACTTCAGTTTGTTGGCACTGCCATAGGCATCATAACTATGTTCCTTTGGTTCAGTAAGGTGCTGTCTAGCTTGCCCCAGCCCCATGTCCACCTTGCATCTCCTTTATCCCCCTACAAAGTGTCCCCCCTTCTCCCCCTACTCACATTACCCCTGTCATCTCACCCACACACACATTGTCCATGAGGTCAGCCCATAAGGACATAGTCGTCTGCACAGTCTTCTTTGATTGACGGCTGGTGGGTTGGGCCAGTTGGAAGGTTAAGGATGGCGTAGTCACAATCGTTATCTCCGGAATCTTCGATGAATCCTGTTGTCTTGGCGTTGTTATGGTCGATGGTGGCATATGTCACATCCTCTTCCTGTCACAAAATGGAAAACATGGAGTGAAACAAAGGTTATATTCTAATTGTCTTCAATTAGCTTCCTTTCCTTGTATCTTTTCCTTTATTATTAGGCCCAGGAATTATCCCTGACCATGTGATCTGATCACGAAAAACTGCAGGACTAAAATATAATATTGTTTTATCAATTACTTCTCTCCCATGACCACTGATCTGATGAGAATGTATCACAGGTGAATTGGAGAATGTTGGTCTGACAGGACACTTCTCTACTTGATTATTGACCAACAATAAAAAGGAAAAGGAAACATTTGAATGCTTGAACACACCACACATACATTATCCGTGTATTTCAGGTAGAGGTTTTGATTTGACTATGATCTAATTCTGTGTACAGTTCTTAGACTATGTGAATACAGCCTTTCATACCACAGAACCCAACTCCCACAAAACATGCAAAACAAGTGAAACAGTGTGAACTTGACCTGATATTCCACAGCTTATCATAGATCGTCCTGTGAAAACTTTCGCTACTTGTTTGAAGAGCCATCAAAAAAACTTCGAACTGTGATCCAGAGAGTCAGAATTATACACACACACACATGCATGTACAAACACACACACACATGCACACATGTATGCACGCACAGTCCACAGGAAGCTGCTGAGGGGAGAATGGCTCATAATAATGGCCGGAAGGGAGCAAATGGAATGGCATCAAACACCTGGAAACCATGTGTTTGATGTATTTGATACCATTCCACTAACTCCGCTCCAGCCATTACCACGAGCCCGTCCTCCCCTATTAAGGTGCCACCAACCTCCTGTGATTCACACACAGCTTGAATGCAATTTACCTGCATTTACTCAACTCAGTGTCATATCATCATAGTGTATGGACATGCCAAATATTGGTTGTACTCTTCATACCTTGTTGTCTGGGCTGCTATGATTATCACCGTCATCTTCTGCAAAGAAGCAGACATGTAGCAATGTCTTTATTTAATTATAACACATACCTTGAAGTATAACAAGAAAATGTGACATGCTTTTACAAAACTAATATAAGTATTACCATCTTCATTTTTCTTCTTCCTGAAAAACAAAAACAGAGGACAAACTTTAGAATTCATTACTCATTCTTACAACAGAGAAATTTTTATTGAATTGCTCACCCAACAGAAATAGGAGAGAGAGCGATGTTACAATATGTGCACTTCAAATTAAAACATATTGCTAATAAAGACTTGACCACACTGCAAAGTAAATGTTAAAATAACTTCCTTGAAGATGCTGCCATCCAGGCCCAGTCTACTCATCACTATTGCTGTAACAGGAATCTCTGTACACATGCTTGTATATGTATTCTGAGGCCATATGCCTGGTCTTCTCTGAGATCAACATTAATGTCATGCACACTTTGATTACAGACTCTTTACAAATGAGATCAACTACTGCGGAACAGTTGTGAAAGAAGCAGAGCACACTACCAGAACAATCCAAATGTATGTGTGAGTTTGTGTATGTGTGAGAAACCCAGGGAGCACTCACCTCAGTGTTCCACACATGTAGTTTCCCATGGTGAGTTAGCTGATCCGAGGAGCCGGAGTTGGAGCACTCTCAGACCGTACCAGGTGTTGAGGTCGCGGTGCCCAGGAACCGGTTGGCACGACAACTCTGCTCTGCTGCCATTAACGTTCAAGTGACATTGCCTCAGCCCCCTCTCTGACAGCAAGATAGAGTGAGGAAGAACATACGAGAGAGAGAGAGAGAGAGAGAGAGAGAGAGAGAGAGAGAGAGAGAGAGAGAGAGACAGAGGTCTGTTTGTGTTATATACAGATTTCCTGTGTTATGTTTCCAGCAGCTCTCTATCACAACTAATAGAAATAACTTACACACACACACACACACACACACACACACACACACACACACACACACACACACACACACACACAAATGGGTACGGTGAGTAGAAGCACAAGGTGAGAATGCAGGACTTTCTAGGTCAAGCTTTGCATGATGTCTATGCAAATATTTAAACAAGTTGGAAAAACCCAAAATAGGTTCCATTTGAGAGTAGAGAGCATGACTTACCTGCAAATGGAACTCAAATAGAATCAATATGTAGAATATTGTCATAGTCCCGTGGCTAACAGGATTTTCGTTATATAGCTATTATACAGTAGCAGTCATATATTCAAATGTTACTTGATGTGTTGTGGTTCAAAGGATATCAACGGTTCTATGCGCATGTTCACACACACACACACACACACACACACACACACACACACACACACACACACACACACACACACATACACACACACACACATACATACACACACACACACACACATGAACTTAACCACTTCCTGACTTAGGCAAACAGTGAATGATCAGTCATATCAAAGTAATACAGTGTATACAAGTTATACAATGCAATCTATGTAAATAGTCACTTTGCAGAAATCTATTTCACTCAGTTGCCAGTCCAATACTACTGGAGCATGAAGCTATTGAACTGACTCAACAATGTTATCATTTGAGACGGCGTCATGCATGTTACAAAAAGTATTTTTGCAACTTGTGTGCACTGTGAAAAATGCAAACTTTAACTGTCACAGTTATATAGCCCCCTCTTCTGGCAATTCAAGGAATTATGTAAATTATGTACCATATGCAAAATGCATGCACGTGTGCGTAGAAGAGGAAACAAAAGCCAACTTTCTCTCTCTGTCTCAGCCTGGTTGCGTCTCAGGTGAAAGGACAGCGGAGAAGTCAGACAGTGAACAATGAACTTCATCACAGCTCTGTTTGCAGTCATTACTCCACTGACTTTGGTCTCATGTACAGGTGAGACTGAAAGACATTCAAAGGAAAGAAGGCGATATGTAAATATAGCCATTCTGCTTGATGTGGACTGTAATGCTAACTGCTGTCATCATAGCTACACGGTTTTCTTTTGTTCTTATGTGCATGTAGCCTCATTTCATTTGGAGGTCCCACTTCACATGAAGAGCCCTAGCCTAAAGCAGTGGTGGAAAAAGTACCCAATTGTCATAGTTGAGTAACAGTAAATATACATGAATAGAAAATGACTCAAGTAAATGTTAAGTCACCCAGTAAAATACTACTTGAGTAAAAGTCTAAAAGCATTTGGTTTTAAATATACTTAAGTATCAAAAGTAAAATAATCAATAATTTCAAATCCTTATATTAAGCAAACCAGACGGCACCATTTTCATGTTTTTTTTAATTTACGGATAGCCAGGGGCACACTCCAACACTCAGACATTACAAATGAAGCATGTATGTTAAATGAGTCCGCCAGATCAGGCAGTAAGGATGACCAGGGATGTTCTCTTGCTAAGCATTCATAATGTAACAAGTACTTTTGGGTGTCAGGGAAAATGTATGGAGTAAAAAGTACATTTACTTTCTTTAGGAATGTAGTGAAGTAAAAGTAAAAATGTCAAAAATATAAATAGTAAAGTAAAGTACAGATACCCCCAAAAACGACTTAGTAGTACTTTAAAGTATTTTTACTGAAGTACTTTACACCACTGGCTTAAAGCATATGCATTTACATTGTAGTTGCATAGGAATGTACATAGCCATTACAGTGTAGGTAGTTTGGTTTTAAGCCACTTGATTTAAAGTGGGATCGATTTTGATTGTTAAATTAATTGAAATTGTCTTCATTTCAGATATCAGAAATGAATTTGTTAATTTGGGTAGTGACGTCATCCTAAAGTGCATCAATAAGACTTGGAGTGAGATAATCTACATCATCTTGAATTTAAACCTGCGTGGGAGAGAGTGTCGAATATACAGTGATTTTGAGAACCGATACCAGAACACATGTAATGACAGCAAACTCCTGCTCAATGCCTCCACTGGAGAACCCCTCCTGTTTATTCCAGAGTTTTCCATCAGGGATGAGGGAAAGTACCAATGTGAGTTTGTTTACAAAGGAGGGAGCCACAATGCACATATACATGTTTTGGCTATAGGTAAGACAACGTCTCCATCTGACCTTTTTAGATTTAGAGTATTTGTTTGTAAAGGCCTGTGCCTTTTTAGCTTTATTTTGTTTGTGCTAAAGGCCTGTGCTTTTTCTGACATATTCCTTCACAATTCCATTGTAATATTCAGTGTCCCTGATTCCTTCCTCACCCCTGTGTTTAGCTCCTCCCAGTGTGTCTTCCTGTCTGGAGTGGGAGGGCAGTAAGAGGGTGGCTGTGTGTTTGGCTAAATGGGGGGAAACCAGCTGCCTCCATCTCCTGGAGGAATACATGGAACTCTACTTCAACCACAGCCAGCGCTATAGAGACCATACATAACCAAGATGGCTCCTACTCTGTGGCGGGACGGTTGGTCCTGCCTGACAGTGGCTCTGAAGACCACACCCTTCCAGGCCAGAGGAGCACATTGAGACAAACCTGGCATTTTGTGCTGGGATAATTGTATTTAGAAACGTATAATATCATATTGTGTTATATCGTATAGCATATAATTTCATATCATATCACATTCTTTCATTCCTATGTGCAGAGAAGAAGCAGTCTGGTAATTTGGGGATGGACATCTCTCATATCCTGAAGATTGCAGGCATCTGCACCATTCCCATCCTGACCATCGCGTATGTAGTGAGAGGAGGGTACAAGGTGAATTACAGTAATACACACACATCCACACACACACCTGTGTTGTGTCATCTGCAGTACGTATGTGGCTTTGTTACTTATGACTGCCTCTGTTTGCAGAAACCATCTCAGGAATCAGAAGTGGAACTAAGTGAGCAGAGAATACAGGAAGCTGATGTAGAACAACAAAGCAGTATGTGTGAGATTCTATGATGATGTGATATAATCTTGATAAAATTGTATCAGCTTTGTAACAACTATTTGACTGTCCTTTAAATAATATCTCTTGAGGCAGAAAATTCAATACAACATTTATTTCAACTGTAGCTGTTGAATAAAACTCTGTTACTTAAGTAAATAAATACACTTCTCAAGAACAGAACAGTGCTTCACTCATTTATTTACCAGTAGATGGCGATATTGTAACTCACTATAAGGGGCTGGAGGAAAACAGTTGCCACTGATGAGCTCTGATAGTGACAAAATGGAAAGCATTAGTCATCAGGTGGATGTTTCTTACCACTGGGGTGGGGTAGGTGCTAAACTAAAGCTAGCAGCATGGTCAGTCTGGCATCTGCATTGGCCGTACAGCATTTACTGCGATGCGGCCAATGCAGAAGTCAGGACATTCGTACTTCTTGCACTTTGTGGAGCAGAGCAGAGCTGTTGTGAAGGAAGTTCTCAAGGAAGGGTGTTCGTGTTTATACAGGACGTACCACCCCCACCTACCGTCAACCAATCATGTTAATGCGGAGCTATACAGAGCTATATGGAGCCCTCCACATTGTTGCAAAATTTGGGAGGCACACGGCATTGCTGTATGGAGCTTGATTTGGCCTCCACATACCTCTGGAGGCTCCACGATTGCATCACACCCTCCGTACGGAACCTCCTGACCACATTGTATAAATTGGCTTTTAATGTGACCCTGTCACCATTTTTAGACACGGGTGGGTAAAAAGATGAGTACTGGTAGCTAATTTAACCGTTCACTGCAGTGGACTAAATCAGGGTCACACAGATTGTTTCTTGGTAGTTTTAAACAAATCTACTTTTAAACAAAAGTATACAGTACCAGTCAAAAGTTTGGACACACCTACTCATTCCAGAGTTTTTCTTTATTTGTACTATTTTTTACATTGTAGAATAAAACTATGAAATAACACATATGGAATCACGTAGTAACCAAAAAAAGTGTTAAACAAAACATATATTTTATATTTGAGATTCTTCAAATAGCCACCCTTTGCCTTGATGACAGCTTTGCACACTGTTGGCATTCTCTCAACCAGCTTCACCTGGAATTATTTTCCAACAGTCATGAAGGAGTTCCCACATATGCTGAGCATTTGTTGGCTGCTTTTCCTTCACTCTGCCGTCCAACTCATCCCAAACCATCTCAATTGGGTTGAGGTCGGGGGATAGTGGAGGCCAGGTCATCTGATGCAGCACTCCATCACTCTCCTTCTTGGTAAAATAGCCCTTACACAGCCTGGTGGTGTGTTGGGTCATTGTCCTGTTGAAAAACAAATGAGAGTCCCACTAAGCCCAAACCAGATGGGATGGAGTGTCGCTGCAGAATGCTGTGGTAGCCACGCTGGTTAAGTGTGCCTTGAATTCTAAATAAATCACAGACAGTGTCACCAGCAAAGCACCCCCACACCATAAAACCTCCTCCTTCATGTTTTACGGTGGGAACCACACATGCGGAGATCATCCGTTCACCCACACCGCGTCTAACAAAGACACAGCGGTTTGAACCAGAAATCTCAAATTTGGACTCCAGACCAAAGGACACATTTCCACAGGTCTAATGTCCATTGCTTGTGTTTCTTGGCCCAAGCAGGTCTCTTCTTATTATTGGTGTCCTTTAGTAGTGGTTTCTTTGCAGCAATTCGACCATGAAGGCCTCATTCACACAGTCCCTTCTGAACAGTTGATGCTGAGATGTGTCTGTTACTTGAATTCTGTGAAGCATTTATTTGGGCTGCAATTTCTGAGGCTGGTAACTCTAATGAACTTATCCTCTGCAGCAGAGGTAACTCTGGGTCTTCCATTCCTGTGGCGGTCCTCATGAGAGCCAGTTTCATCATAGCGTTTGATGGTTTTTGCGACTGCACTTGAAGAAACTTTCAAAGTTCTTGAAATGTTACGTTTTGACTGACCTTCATCTCTTAAAGTAATGATGGACTGTTGTTTCTCTTTGCTTATTTGAGCTGTTCTTGCCATAATATGGACTTGATCTTTTACCAAATAGGGCTATCTTCTGTATACCCCCCCTACCTTGTCACAACACAACACAATTATATTATTATTATTATTATTACAACACAACTGATTGGCTCGAACGCATTAAGAAGGAAATAAATTCTACAAATTAACTTTTAAGAAGCCACACCTGTTATTTGAAATGCATTCCAGGTGACTACATCATGAAGCTGGTTGAGAGAATGCCAAGAGTGTGCAAAGTTGTCATAAAGTCAAAGGGGGCTATTTTGAAGAATCTCAAATACAAAATATATTTTGATTTGTTTAACACTTATGGTTACTACATGATTCCATATGTGTTATTTCATTGTTTTGATGTCTTCACTATTGTTCTACAATGTAGAAAATAGTAAAAATAAAGAAAAACCCTGGAATGAGTAGGTGTGTCCAAACTTTTGACTGGTAGTGTACATCTCACTCACATGGTTATGGGCTTAAAAAAAAAAGACAGCTGTACCATGTCAGATAAAGAGTTGTAATGTATTCCATTTTGAGTTTGCATCCCACTATTACACTTTATATACATTGCATAAATCTGCTTTTAATGTGACCCTGTCCCCATTTTTAGACACGGAAGGGTGAAAAGATGAGTACCGGTAGCTAATTTAACCTTTCACTGCAGTGGACTAAATCAGGGTCACACAGATTGTTTCTTGGTAGTCTTGACTGCAGGAAAGGGCTACTAAATTAATTGAATGAGCAACATTTATGCAAAGTCCTCCAACGGTAACCCTTAAGAGACATGGAATAAAAAGACAGACACATGAGTGTAGCCCAATGATACGAAACACAACTCAAAATGAGTAGCAACAGACAAGATAGCTATGGCAGCTATGCTTATATAGTAGGGCAGGAAGTGAAAACCACTAAGATACAAAGGAGAGAGAGAGAGAAGGAGAGAGAGTGAGAGAAAGAGCGAGATCGACAGTACATAATATCAGTGTCACTTCATGTGCGTATACACAGAGGGTTTGCTCTAACTGAGTGACTCAGGCATGACCTGTTTTGAGAGCTCATAAGACATTGCATCTTTGCTCTGATGGACCGACCGCGTTCTGACCACATCCTGCTGGTCCTATGCCTCCTCTTTCTGCTCTGTGTCCATGGCAACGCTCAAGGTAAGATGCCAATTTATGTCATACCTTGCCACAAATACTTTTGTGGTATATTATGAACAACAAAAAACACAGTTCAAGAGGGGTGATGGACAGTATCAAATAGTAATAACTTCTCAACTGCTATTTGAATGAAGTGTGAGTGGTCATCATGTTTTAATTGATGTTCTGTGATCAATGTGATCCAGTGTGATCTATGAGCAGGAAGATCAAATATGAACTATCAGTCATTTATTTCAGTTGATTCCATTATCTTTTTTCAGACCAAGGCCCTAAATGTGAGGTGCGAGTCAAAAGAAACACCATTTGGAATGCTGTCCCTCAGAAAGCCCTAACAATCAACTGCCCTGTGAGACACTGTGGAAAAGAGCTACACGCCACCTGGTGTAAATTTGTGGACCCAATCCACTGCGAACAGATACATGAGACAGAGCAAGTCACATTTGGATGGAGGCAAAATGGAGATTCAGAACATCTTTTGATTTTGGATTTTAAAAAGATATCTACGAATGACGATGGTTTGTACAGATGTGGAGTTGCTGAAAATGGGTCAACATCTGTTAGCCATGCTATCAACGTCTCTGTCTCAGGTAACCAACCAAAGCTTATTTAATCTTTCAATCTAATGTCCTAGAATGGATCAGATAGATACTAAGTTGTTCTGGAAGCCATTGTTGTCTGACAAACATCCGGGGGCGGACTGGGAAAAAAATGAAGCCCTGCCATTTTAGCCACACATCACCGCTCGTGCACCATCACACGCTATTACATATAGAGCCAACGTATTAAGGAACTGGCAGTACATCTGTGTCGCTCTGTTTTCTTCCTTCCTCCACTGCACTCACCCCTGAACTGTCTCTGCTAAGCCTAGCATCCTTTCCCACAGCACTGGTACCAGAACACCGATGGACCACACTGCCTGTGCTGGGCCCAGCAACATCCTAGTTGTGAATGAATAAACACATTTATTAGATAAAGAAGAAAGATTACTGAATAAATGCCTAATAGATGACCATTGGCTCATAATACTCCCCATATAGTTAGTTACCTTACATATATAATATAGAGCCAAAATGGTAAAACTGGCAGTACATCTGTGTCGGTGTGTGTCTCTCTCTCTTCCTACCTCCACTGCAGCAGCAGCTGAGCTGTCTGTTAGCTGTCTATGCTGCTACGCCTAGCATCACTGGGACCAGAAGACCAGGGGACCACACTGCCTGTGCTGGGCCCAGCTACCCCCTAGCGTAACACTTTATTTTAATGGTCCATAATAAACCTTTTATAAGGGATTTATAAGGCATTTACAAAGCGTTTGCTCACCATTTATGAATGTTAGTTATTCACACATGTATATATTAAACATCCTGTGTTGTGTGCTTATTATTTTAGCAGGTACTGCAGGAATGTCTACCCATGGCATGCCCATCTTTTTGTGACAAATTACGCTGGTCATGCAAAACATTTATAATAGCACTCACTTTAGATTAGGGACTGCAAAAATACTTTGCTAATGATTAGTACATTGTTTATTAATGTGGGCGTAATGATTATATAATGGTGAACACATCATTTATAAATGCTTTATTACAGTCCCTTAAAATAAAGTGTTACCCATCCGGTATCCTAGTTGTGAATGAATAAACACATACATACAGACTTTCTCCACATTTTGTTACGTTACAGCCTTATTCTAAAATTGATTAAATACATACAAATCCTCAGCAATCTACACACTACCCCATAATGACAAAGCGAAAACAGGTTTTTAGAAATGTTTGCAAATGTATTACAAATACAAAACAGAAATATCTTATTTAAATAAGCATTCAGACCCTTTGCTATGAGACTTGAAATTGAGCTGAGGTGCATCCTGTTTCCATTGATCATCCTTGAGATGTTTCTACAACTTTATTGGAGTCCACCTGTGATAAATTCAATTGATTGGACATGATTTGAAAAGGCACACACCTGTCTATATAAGGTCCCACAGATGACAGTGCATGTCAGAGCAAAAACCAGGCAATGAGGTCGAAGGAATTGTCCGTAGAGCTCCGAGACAGGATTGTTTTGAGGCACAGATCTGGGGAAGCGTACCAAAACATTTCCGCAGCATTGAAGGTCCCCAAGAACCCAGTGGCCTCCATCATTCTTAAATGGAAGAAGTTTGGAACCACCAAGACTCTTCCTAGAGCTGGCTGCCCGGCCAAACTGAGCAATCGGGGGAGAAGGGCCTTGGCCAGGTAGGGGACCAAGAACCTGATGGTCATTCATATGGTGAAGCATGGTGGTGGCAGCATCATGCTGTGGGGATGTTTTTCAGCGGCAGGGAATGGGATACTAGTCAGGTAAGAGGCAAAGATGAACAGAGCAAAGTACAGAGAGATCCTTGATGAAAACCTGCTCCAGAGCGCTCAGGACCTCAGACTGGGGCGAAGGTTCACCTTCCAACAGGACAACGACCCTAAGCACACAGCCAAGAAAACGCAGGAGTGGCTTCGGGACAAGTCTGAATGTCCTTGAGTGGCCCAGCCAGAGCCCGGACTTGAACTTGATCGAACATCTCTGGAGAGACCTGAAAATAGCTGTGCAGATACGCTCCCCATTCAACCAGATAAATCTTGAGAGGATCTGCAGAGAAGAATGGGAGAAGCTCCCCAAATACAGGTGTGCCAAGCTCGTAGCATCATACCCAAGAAAACTCAAGGCTGTAATCGCTGCCAACGGTGCTTCAACAAAGTACTGATTAAACGGTGTGAATACTTATGTAAATGTGAAATTTCAGAATTGCAAAATATCTAAAAACCTGTTTTTGCTTTGTCATTATGGGGTATTATGTGTAGATTGATGAGGGGAAAAAAAACAATTTAATCAATTTTAGAATAAGGCTGTAACGTATCAAAATGTGGAAAAAGTCAAGGGGTCTGAATACCTTCCGAAGGCACTAAGAAGAAAATCACTGAATAAATGCCTTATAGATGACCATTGGCTTACATAATACCTTATAACAGCCTAACTACATATTTCAAATTAGTGCCATTCTTGTGTTCTACCCTGCCCACTTATCTAGTGTTTAATTCAATAGAAGAAAACAGAGAGAGAGAGAAGGAGAGAGAGAGAGACTCTTGTTTTGGCTGTATAATACAGCCAATGGTTACATTAAGGAACTGTCAGTCTCGCTCTCTCCCTCTCTCTCTGTTTTCTTCTATTGAATTCAATATAAAACCTTTTGTGTTTGTCATAGAACAATGCCGGGACTAGTTTACAGTATGTGGATGGTGCTTCTTTTGACAGTATGCATATCTTTGTGCCAAGAAGTGATGGCCTTTCAGCTAATGAAATAGGCAGGACTTTCCAGCCTTCACTGGCGTTGGCAATGTAATGTAATCTGACACAAGAGGCACTTGTTACTACAGCTCATAAACTAGCGAAAGGGGGATACCTATTCAGTTGTACAGCTGAATGTATTTAACTGAAATGTGTCTTCCGCATTTGGCCCAACTCTCCTACCCGACCCACTCGCTGGCTGAAGAGACGGATTCAGAAGCGAATAAACATTGATAAAACAATTAAAATACACAGACAGTCCCTGAATTGACCTTTATCAGAGGATTATTTATCAATTATTATGCATGAATTCAGTGTTTCATTGTAATACATGATGACTTGTATTAAAATTAGTTTAATTTCACACATTTAGCAGTGTCGGCCTCAAGAGCCTTTATTTGATCACTAACTTTTTCGGCTCCATCTTTCTATGTTTTATGATCCATGATCTGGGCTGACTGATGATAGAGAGTCAGAGCAGGTGTCTTTGCTGATGTGCGTTTGACTTTCAATGTGAATTTTTGTGCGACCTCAGCTCAGCCCACTGATCAGGCAAATGCTCAAATATATTATTATGTAACAGAGAAAATGTGCAAAAATCATTTTTAAAAAATAAGATTTTTGCATAATTTCTCTGAGAAATGGTGCAAAAATCTTCAAAAAATAATCTTAGCAGGCCCATCGCCCCCAAATAAACATTTGTCGATTTCGACCAGACCACCCAACAAAAAGATGGTCTGGCCCATTTGGCATTTGCCAGAATTGCCAGATGGCTAATCCGCCTATGCAAACTTCTTTCTATAGATAGCAACCTGGAGATTACAAGCACAGCAGACCACAACACAAGTAAGACAATGTGTTATGGAATTTACAGACATTCAGTCACATCACATTAACTAGTAGGCCTATGTGATAACTGTGTCTGGTGTTAAGACCTCTGTTTCTACTCTAACAGATGACTCACCAAATGTAAATCCTGATTGGAATGATCTGAGCTGGCTGCCATATTTTTACATCTGTGTGGGAATAGTACTCCTGGTGGTCATTGTGACAGCAATTTCCTTCTTCTGTCTGCATGCACGTAAAGGTGAGTTATGCTATTGATTCAATACTGAAAAATGTATGTTTTTTACAAGGTTGAAATACAGAACAAATTCAAATTTTACATTTCTACACTGGATATCTTTTTCAGGACCAACCAGGTCAACCGAAAATAGAACAAATAAGCAGGTAAAGCAACAAAATAATTGTATTTCTTATAGCATTTCATAATTAACCAACAGGTCATCTGTTAACATGACAATACTGGTCCTCAGTACACCTGCTTGCATGCGAAGGCTAAACATAATAAATGGTAGCATTGCTGTGCTGCCATGTCTAAATGCCTTTGATGGGGGTGGGTGCGAATCCCATCTTGAGGGGCCGCAGTGGCTTGCGGGTCTGCGTACCCACATCCATACACTAGTCTTTTGGGAACCCTAAGTGCAATTCTACACATCTTACCATGGGGCGTAGAGAAAATTTAGCAGTTTTAAAGCAAGTTTGCTGGAATTCTACACATTTTACCATGTGGCGGAGAGAAGATTTAGCAATTTTATAACACATTTCATGCAATTATACTCATTTTGCCATGGAGCAGAGAGAAAATGTAGCAGTTTTACAGCTAATTTCCTGCAATTCTACACATTTTGTTTTGCAGTTTTTATTATGATATCGGTAAGTCAACCATGATTACTAGAAGTTTAGATAGCAGGCTAGACTAACTTACCAATCAAAAATGTTTTAGCTGACGTGGACTTATTGAGGTACTATCAGTGACTGACATAATAAGAGAAAAACTGCTGATGCACAACCACATTTCGAAACTGCATCTTGTGTATTCTTCTATTCTAACTCGCAACAGTAAGTTGAGACCCCAACTTATTTTTTTTCTCCCAAAAAATTTAATAATAATAATAATAATATTTTGGGAAGGGGGAGGATTAATCCACGGGTCTACAAAGGGGGGGCCGCCGCGGGCCGGCAGTTGACCATCCCTGGTCTAAATGTCTCTTCCTGTGTTTATGACACAGGAGATATCCACACTGGCAGCACCATGTCCAGACCTCTCCTTCAGCCCTGAGGGAACCTTTCCATCATCACCATCCACCCCAAACCCTGCCCAGCCCACCAATCTCTACGACAACGGTCTCTACTGCAACAGCATCAATGGGAAAAATGGAGCTCTGCCATCCTCTAACATCAGAGCAGGAGGTCAAGTGTCAAGCCACCTTGTGTATGCTTCCCTGAACCACCAGACCACCAGGGTGTCCCTGAGATCCCCCCATAGCCCGACCCCTCAGGATGCGTTCTCTGAGTACGCAGCCATCCGGGTCTACTAAGCTCTGAGAGAGACCTCAGCCAGTCCATAGCAGTACAGTGCTGCTATACTGTCCTTCTGTGCTAGTTGTGTTCTTTGATGGTGGTTTTTACAGAGGAAGAGGAAAGCTGAAAATTTTTGTTGATGAAAATATGACTCATAGGGGGATCTGTTTTCATATTATAATTTTTTGGGCCACTTTATATAACTCTCACTCATTCAATGAAACACTCTTCCTGGTTTAATTGCAATGGTGAGCAGTGTGTTAACCGCAGTGCAGCAGTGTTTCAGAGAAGAAGATGTGAGATGTAAAGATGGGGTGTAACTGAGAAGTGTTAGAGCTAGAGAGTATGTGCTTCTCAGTGAACCTCCTTCACATCACACCTCAGAGTTTGAGGAGCAAAGGTGACCATAACTCTCTCTTCAAGTTATCTCACACATAATGATGGTAAACCATCATTTGTTAATTACTATCAAGAAATACAAAATGTATACAAAAGTATGTTGACACCCCTTCAAATTAGTGGATTTGGCTATTTCAGCCACACCCGTTGCTGACAGGTGTATATAATCGAGCACACAGCCATGCAATCTCCAGAGACAAACATTGGCAGTAGAATGGCCTTACTGAAGAGTTCAGTGACTTTCAACGTGGCATCGTCATAGGATGCGACCTTTCCAACAAGTCAGTTCGTCAAACATCTGCCCTGTAAGAGCTGCCCCGGTCAACTGTAAGTGCTGTTATTGTGAAGTGGAAACGTCTAGGAGCAACAACGGCTCAGCCGCGAAGTGGTGGGCCACACAACCTCACAGAACGGGACCGCTGAGTGCTGAAGTGTGTAGTGCGTAAAAATCGCCTGTCCTCGGTTTCAACACTCACTACCGAGTTCTAAACTGCCTCTGGAAGCAACGTCAGCACAATAACTGTTCGTCGGGAGCTTCATGAAATGGGTTTACAATGCTGAGCAGCCGCACACAAGCCTAAGATCACCCTGCGCAATGCCAAACGTTGGCTGGAGTGGTGTAAAGCTCGCCGCCATTGGACTCTGGAGCAGTGGAAACGCGCTCTCTGGAGTGATGAATCACGCTTCAACATCTGGCAGTCCGACGGACAAATCTGGTTTTGCCGGATGCCAGGAGAACGCTACCTGCCCCAATGCATAGTGCCAACTGTAGAGTTTGGTGGAGGACAAATAATGGTCTGGGGCTGTTTTTAATGGTTTGGGCCAGCAAAGTCCCCGCAGCAATGTTCCAACATCGAGTGGAAAGCCTTTCCAGAAGAGTGGAGGCTGTTATAGCAGCAAATGGGGGACCAACTACATATTAATGCCCATGATTTCAGAATGAAATGTTCGACGAGCAGGTGTCCACATACTTTCGGTCATGTAATGTACTCTACCGTTCAAAAGTTTGGGGTTACTTAGAAATGTACTTGTTTTCCATGAAAACATACATTAAATGAGTTTGAATAGGAAATATAGCAAAATTAATAGAAAATGTAGTAATTGACAAGGTTAGCAATAATACATTTTATTGTAATAATAATTGTGTCCTTCAAACTTTGCTTTCGTCAAAGAATCCTCTATTTGCAACAAACAGCCTTGCAGACCTTTGGCATTCTAGTTGTCAATTTGTTGAGGTAATCTGAAGAGATTTCACCCCATGCTTCCTGAAGCACCTCCCACAAGTTGGATTGACTTGATGGGCACTTCTTACGTACCATACGGTCAAGCTGCTCCCACAACAGCTCAATAGGGTTGAGATCTGGTGACTGTGCTGGCCACTCCATTATAGACAGAATACCAGCTGACTGCTTCTTCCCTAAATAGTTCTTGCATAGTTTGGAGTTGTGCTGTTGTAGGAGGAAATTGGCTCCAATCAAGTGCCGTCCACAGAGTATGGCATGGATTTGCAAAATGGAGTGATAGCCTTCCTTCTTCAAGATCCCTTTTACCCTGTACAAATCTCCCACTTCACCACCACCAAAGCACCCCCAGACCATCACATTGCCTCCACCATGCTTGACAGATGGCATCAAGCACCCCTCCAGAATCTTTTAATTTGGTCTGCATCTCACAAATGTTCTTCTTTGTGATCCGAACACCTCAAACTTCAATTTGTCTGTCCATAACACTTTTTTTCCAATCTTCCTCTGTCCAGTGTCTGTGTTCTTTTGCCCATCTTAATCTTTTCTTTTTATTGGCCAGTCTGAGATATGGCTTTTTCTTTGCAACTCTGCCTAGAAGGTCAGCATCCCAGAGTCACCTCTTCACTGTTGACGTTGAGACTGGTGTTTTGCAGGTACTATTTAATGAAGCTGCCAGTTGAGGACCTGTGAGGCGTCTGTTTCTCAAACTAGACACTCTAATGTATTTGTCCTCTTGCTCAGTTGTGCACCGGGGCCTCCCACTCCTCTTTTTATTCTGGTTAGAGCCAGTTTGCGCGTTTCTGTGAAGGGAGTAGTACACAGCGTTGTACGAGATCTTCAGTTTTTTCGCAATTTCTCTCATGAAATAGCCTTCATTTCTCAGTACAAGGATAGACTGACAAGTTTCAGAAGAAAGTTATTTGTTTCTGGCCATTTTGAGCATGTAATCGAACCCACAATTGCTGATGCTCCAGATACTCAACTAGTCTCAAGAAGGCCAGTTTTATTGCTTCTTTAATAAGCACAACAGTTTTCAGCTGTGCTAACATAATTGCAAAAGGGTTTTCTAATGATCAATTAGCCTTTTAAAATGATAAACTTGGATTAGCAAACACAACGTGCCATTGGAACACAGGACTGATGGTTGCTGATAATGGGCCACTGTACGCCTATGTAGATATTCCATTAAAAATCAGCCGTTTCCAGCTACAATAGCCATTTACAACATTAACAATGTCTACACTGTATTTCTGATCAATTTGATGTTATTTTAAAGGAGAAAAAACATTACTTTTCTTTCGAAACAAGGACATTTCTAAGTCACCCCAAACTTTTGAACGGTAGTGTATATTTTAATGATAAAACCACTGAGTCATTTTGGTGAATATAAGTGAGGAATTAGGGATATAAAAGAGGGACATTACTTATACCTAACATTTTATGACCCTGTGTGTGTTTAGGTGAGTGTGTGTGTGTGTGTGTGTGTGTGTGTGTGTGTGTGTGTGTGTGTGTGTGTGTGTGTGTGTGTGTGTGTGCGTGTGACTCACTCAGTAAGTGAGTGTGTATGTGTGGGTGTACAGTATAAGTACAGATTAATGTGTTTGCACGTGTGTGCTGGGTACAGGTTGGGGGCTTTCCATGGTTTATGTAAAATGTTGAGCCCACCATATACTGTAGCCGAAACAGGGAGTCCCTGCAAATAGATAAGTTCTCCCTCTTCAGAGACTATGGAAATGTAATTTCAATGTAACATTAATGGAAATGACTGTTTCTCTATGGCTATATGAAGATGAAGGTAATAGTTTGCATAACTGTGATGTTATGTTAGTGTGGCATGATTGTAATAAAGTGACAAATACAGTGACACATTTTAGTCTCAGTTGTTGTCGGTTGGAAACATGTTAGTTTGAAACCTCACAATTGAAAATTCTGCAAGTTAAGGTAACATGATTACTATGCAACTCAACTCAATTACAATACATTCACCAGAGAATAGTGATGTCCCTCATTTTATTGGAAATTGTGACAGAGTCATAGAGTATTACCATTTGAAGCGGGAATAGCTAGTTTTGGAGAGAACAGAATAAATCTTGGGTCTTGTCTTACTGGTAATGTCTTTGGTCCCTACACAGTCTCTGTATGTGTTCTGGTAAAACCCTGAGTGAGTGAGTGAGTGGTTCCTGTAAAGTGCTGGGGTGTACTTTCTGCCCCAGATACAGATCCTAACCTGCACAGGGCTTTGTGTTTGTGGTTTAAAAACACAGTGCACAGGAAGTGCTAGGAGCAGCCCACCACACCTAGACAGAAACTCTATGCTCAGAGAGATGATGTTTATTCAGAGAGAAACTCTATGCTCAGAGAGATGATGTTTATTCAGAGAGAAACTCTATGCTCAGAGAGATTATGTTTATTCAGACAGAAACTCTATGCTCAGAGAGATGATGTTTATTCAGAGAGAAACTCTATGCTCAGAGAGATTATGTTTATTCAGAGAGAAACTCTATGCTCAGAGAGATTATGTTTATTCAGAGAGAAACTCTATGCTCAGAGAGATTATGTTTATTCAGAGAGAAGCTCTATGCTCAGAGAGATTATGTTTATTCAGAGAGAAGCTCTATGCTCAGAGAGATTCTGTTTATTCAGAGAGAAACTCTATACTCAGAGAGATTATGTTTATTCAGAGAGAAACTCTATGCTCAGAGAGATTATGTTTATTCAGAGAGAAACTCTATGCTCAAAAAGATGATGCACTATGGTAAATTATCCTGCCAGTTTCGGACCAATGCAAGTTGTCTTGTAGACTTAAATAACTTATTGGGACACAAAATATACAAACTCTTCAGCCTAATTATGTCATTACAATATTTTCATAATTGCTGACACATCCATTAGCCTAACAATCTCAGAAGAGATCCCATTCTTATCAGTGTAATGGCTTAAACATGTTGGCCTAGATGTTTTTTGAGAGCAGACCAGTGACTGTACCTTGATGCTGTGTCACTGTCAGCTACTGCCTGCTCCCATGTGGGTGTATGTTGTTATTATAGCATCAGGCTCTACCATCATTCTTTCTAAGGCATTAGAGCAAAGGCTAGTACAGGACATTAGGACAGGCTGAGACATGAGGACATTATAACTTTGAGGCCCTTTTAAGTGTATTGAAAAGGCCATGATTACAAGGGTTAATGAACTCCATCTCCCTTCAGATTTGGTTGAATGGAATTTATCTTCCTACTATGGATGTCTGTCAGTCACAGCCCACACACACTGCCCTCTGTCCTTGTAACACACACACACACACACACACACACACACACACACACACACACACACACACACACACACACACACACACACGCTTACACAATCAGCCC